TATATATATATATATATATATATACTTACTTGTGTCTGTGTTAGACTACATTATATCAAATATGTATATATATATATATATATGTATCAAATATGTATGTATATATTTGTACTTTAAAAATAGCTGAACATGCAAATTGTATGTATACCTGTTTTTCTTTGGGATATTTGGAAATTTTGAAGATTTTGAAAATTTATAAAATTGTGCGCTAGCTAGAATATAGCCCAGTAGCTTGGAATTAAGGTGTGCATGTATATATCAATATAAGAGTGTACTAAATATACAAAATTGATCGATTTTTCGATTTTCAAACCTTTTTAAAAATGTATAAGTTTGATAAAAATTTAACTCTTAAAAACTCTGTATTCATTGTTAATATTATAAGCAGCGAAAATAATGCAAAATGAATTTCAAATTATTATTAAATATATAAGCTTGGCAGTTAGTGAGATCTATAAAGTATTGCCATCTAAATACTATTTATATATATGTATACATTCCTTTCCTTTCCTTTTTGGTTTATCAACTAAATCTAGGGTATTAACAGCGTTGCAATTTTTCTAGATGAGGAGTTTTTTTTTTTTACATATATAGGTCTATATAGGCTCGTTTGTAGATGTATGTCATTGCCATTATTCGTGCCTCCGAAGTTATAAAATTCCAAAGTGATTTTCTGCTGAACAAGCAAACATAATTCATTGTGTCACCTCGTTCGATTTGCGACATATATAACTAATTGTAAGACCCCATATCTTCTGTCCGTCTGAATGGGATATATATTTATATATATATATATATGCATATAAATTTTTGCCTCGATTGCATTTTCAGTTGTTGTTTTTGTTTGCTTGCCTAAAAGCCTGAAACCTGCCTTCGCTTAGCCGGTTGAATCTCTTTCAGGAGCTGCAATGTAAACAAAAGTGTTAAAAATAAACTCAGATGTACGCAGTATTATAAGTAATACAAACCCATAGCTGGGCACTGACTCAATTAGTTTGGCATTCCAGCCATGACAAATTGAAATGTTGGTCAAGTATAAAGCGCAGGGCTAACCCAGAGCTCCTCACAGCTGAATCCACAATCTCTCTCTCCCCCTTTCCCACCTCTCTCTCTCTCTCTCTCTCTGTCTTCCTCTTCCTCTCTGTCACTCGAGTATGTGAGTCAGGCTGTTGGGCATTTCATTCCTCACCTTATCAACGCGACATTTATTCGCATTCCCCACCTGGA